TTTACATATATAAAAATATCAAAGTACAATTATCAAAAAATTAATAGTTTACGAGTTATTTAACATTTTATGTCAATATATACTAGAATAAAGTATACAATAACTCGTAAACTATTGGTTTTTTTTTATATTACTACCTTAATACTTTTATATGCAGAATAATTAAAGGAACCATATTATGTAAAAAAAATCATATAATTCCATTTAAAAAAGTGGAAATGACTTTGAAGTTTCAAAAAATATAAAAGAAAAATTGAGAAAAATTTTTTGCTCGTATATAGTATGTGTTCTTTCGAATCGCCTATGATATTTTCTCGTATCATCAAAAACAACGGAGATATTTTAAATGATCAAGTCAAGGGGTCACAGGAAATACCCTGCATAGCGTCTGGAGATGTTCGGAAAAACTTCCCAAATAACTATCGCTTAAAATTATCCCCATTCTCTTTTCTTCGTAATGTTTTTTTAGGGCATTCGAGAATGTCCAGAGAGATTTCCCAAATACCTTTGGATATATACCATGGAATAAGAGAATGAATGGCAACCCTGCGTATCATTGTAAATTTAATCCGATGAAATGGCTTGGTCAATGGTTAAGAGTAGACTAATAACAACACTTTTAAAATACAAAATGTAAAATTATTACAGCCACAACAATAGATGTTAACACAAATCATATATTTAAAATTCACAAATAAATAAGTACTATAAATAATTACTTTGTATTTATTTGTGAATTTTAAATATATGACTTGTATTAACATCTGTTGTTGTGGCTATATGCTCTTTATTACTTATATTTTGTAATTGTTTTAGCCACCTTCAAATATTTTACACATAAAATTATTACTTGAATAATATATTGATCGGGTAACAATATTGGAGTATTTTATTAGATACATTATAGATGAAAAGAAAAAAATGTGAGAAATTGATCATATATATGATAGAATGATTGACAGTATATTCTCCATTACTAATTAAGAATATATTGGCTAACGTTCTAACATTGACAATAACTCGAAAATTTAATAAATTAGTTCTATTAATTATCTGAAGACATATATAAAACCTGAAGTCGCTTCTCTATCTAGTTCAAGAAGTTATCCAATTTAATTTTGCATGAGTTCTTATAGAGTATTGCAGGTGGAAATAAATCGCTGAAATCTCTGAAATTACTGAAAATTGCTGAAATCGATTAGTTCGATCAGTTAACCCATTTCAGTTTAATTCATACTGAAATAGATTAACTGATATAGATTTTAGTGATTTTCAGCGATTTCAGCGATTTATTTCCACCGAGTAGTAGCATATTTCTACTTATATCAACAAAATTATAAAGAAGCAACATTGCAGATATTCTGAAACTTTATTTGTGAGTAAATAAAATACTGAACAATGTTTCTAAAAAAAATTCATATTAATTTACTAACCCGTTATCAAAATATTAATGATAAAGCAACACAAAATTCCGAATAGGCTATAACCACACTTCGACTGCTCAAAACATGCAACTGCAGTGTCAATAGCACGAAGTTTACATATCTTTTTGATTTTTAAGTGGCATGTGATGTCTGATATACATTAAATGTTATTAATATGTAGCACATCTTTCGTTTCTTATAATTAATTTCAAGAAAAATTCACGTCCAAAAGTTTTTTTACCGACAATTACAAAAATACAAATGTATTCATTTATAATGCCAAATCACATTAACTAATATTTTTTTTTTTTAATAGTTTTTATACACGATACGGCGCATATTTTAACTTATAAAAAGATAAAATTTTATCAATTTCAAATTTGAGTAACTTTTGTCTGGGAAATTGATCATATATAGCCAGAACATCTTTAACATCACAGGCGAAACAGATTCTGAAATCTCTGACAATATTATATTAATTTCTTATGATATACAGTCAATTTCATATGTAATATCGTTACCATATTCATAGTTTCTATGCGATATTTCATATTATTATGTGATATTATTGTAATAATTTATTTTCATACGTTATTTTTACTGCATTACTCAGTTATGTTATATTACAGTTTTTTTTTCCTTCTTTTAATGTTCTGTTTATTATTTCGATATTATAACTTTGATTTACTTAACTTTGATTAACTTCGATTTTTTTTATTATTACTTTGATTTGAGTTTTAGGCGTTTATTTTACTTTTAATTATATTTAACTGCATTTAACTTTATTTGTCAAATTACACTTACAAATTAAAAAAATTAGATATTACAACAATTATGATATTCAATTACGTTGTATTATTTTATGAAATAAAAATATATTACTATTGGATTTCATTTTTCATATGTCATAAATATTCAGCTGTATAATTTAAATACATGGGTATTACAATGATGTCAATTTACATCACATTAAAATGTCAAGATTATCTCATCCGCTCAATTTTCTAAGCCTGGGTCCAGGCGTATCGTATACGATAATGGGTGCAATCCCATTTTGCCTATTATATCACCTCCTATGAGCAGACAGACGTCATTCTCTCGTCAAACAGAATATAATAAAATATTACTTGCTTCGTTAATATTATTATTAATAATATTATAAAATAATAAAATTATTTTGAATTATATTGCTGTTAATATTTATTAAAACGCTGTTAATACTATATCATTTTTACATTGCTGAGAAAGTTCGTAAAACAACTGAGGTAATAACAGATTCAATTAATTCCTTTTTTGGTTTCACAATCTCCAATTGTCAAGTTGAAAAAAATATTTGTTCCTTTTGAAAAAAATATCTGTAAAGAAAACATTTCGTTCACATCAAGAAATAAAAAACCAAATTTGAAGAAATAAAAAATCAAATCCAAATTTGATTCAGCAACTTATAATTACATGCAAATTTCAGAAGATCAATATTATGCTGAGAATGCTTAAATCTGTTGAAACATTATATAATAAAAAAGAAATAAGTTAGTAAGTAATCTTCACTTTGCTATATTTACTATATACATATTTTAAAAATTATAAAATAAATTTTTAATTTGCTTTCCTCAAGTGTTTTTTCTTAATTTCAAAACTTTCTTTAGTAAAAGTGTATGTATTTTAAACTTATAAATAAATAAACAATTAATATTTCATGACATATATACATATATATGTACAATATGATTCATGAAACATTAATTATATTGTACATACATATGTATAATTCATATAATATTAGTTATATTTATATAATTATATGTATAATTATATGTATATAAGAAACCATCTAATCAGGATTTTTCTGCAGATATATCCATATTGGAGTGTCTCCAAAAAAATACAATCAAAAATTAGAGGAACCCTTTAGTAACGACGTGTTCGTAAACAGATGGGGGAACATTCTAGAAAATTGTAGACAGACTACATCGAAGGCAAAGAATAATAAAGTCAATTACTGTTAACGAGATAACATCGCGATCATTCAATTGAGAATCCCCTATTGGTAGTGCACGCACGTGTATTCATTGCCGGTATTGTGCAAGCACAGCATATCCGAAAGGGCGCGCATCGTTGCATTCGTAGAATTCTGCGCTCTATAATTAGGCTAATTATTAGCTGACGTTTTCAAACCCACTGGTCAAATGCCGGAACAGCAATTTGCCCGAATGCTCTGTGGGCTTTCTCCGTTAAGTTGATCTTTCTTTAATTCGCGGTTTATAACTGCGATTGTTTGAGGTTTCGACAAAAAATATAAAGTAAAATGAATAGAGTATATTCCAATCGCTAGGGTAGACCGGAGACAAAAGTAACACGAGACAATAGTAACATCGTTAATATTCTTTAAACTATAATAGATATGTGTATGCGGCTGAATGGTACAATTCTGTAGACAGATCGGCATTGAATCGTTCGTTACATGCTGGTTCTCGCGGAACGTGCACGAGTGCAGAAGCAGAAATTATTTTTTTCATGCATCAAGTAAGTTTTATTGCATGCACCAAATCTAAAATATTTTTTTTTTCTTTATAATGCAGATATAATGTATTATCATAATATGTTTTAATGATTATTTGTGTTGATGGTTGCATATTTAATTTTTATCTAGGTTTTTTTATTTAAAAAATTTACTATAAATCATAAAATATCATTAGGAGACAATAGTAACATCTGGGGGGAGTTGTAACATTACAATTATTCCCAAACTTACTTGATTTTATTTTAGTATTGTTTTGTACAATGTTATTTGTATTTTTCTTCATAAAATCCCATTTACAAGAAAATACAAGATAAGAAAAAAAACTATATAAAAGAAATGTCTTTATACAAACAGATATTTAAGGAAGTTATAAAGGACTAGTTATTCATTCGTGCTACAAGAAAGAGTATGATTACGTAGTTGTGTTATGTATCTCTGGCAAATGTGATATAATTATCCTACTCTACTGTTGAAATCGTTACTATCGTCCCTGGGGGTTGGGACGGTTGTAACAAAATTCCTCTAGACTTTAAACAAACATAACTTCTTTTCTAATTACATAAAATAATTAAACCAAAGAAAAAATTTTGTTATAATATTTTTTGTTATAATTTTGTTATAAATATTTTTTTAATGTATTATATTTTAACTGTTATAACACTTCAAAGTCAAAATACTACTTTTGTTCCCAGTCTCCCCTATACGAGCACGTTATATCTATTATATTAATTAATTTGTTTTCTAACTTATCTATTTAAAAGAAAAATTAGTTTGTAATCTCATACTTTTATATATTTTTATTAAATGACCTAATTTTGATTTAAAAAATCCTAATTTTTGTCTTTTCAATAATTTAATGTGGAAACGGAGAATAACTCAAGCAATTTGGCGCAGAACCTGTATAATGATGTAATATAAGAAACAACGGAAAATAACATAGGGACAATAGAAATGCAAACGATTGCAAAAGCGCGCGTCCGAGAAAGTGCTTTTCTGCCGTTATTCCGCGCACGCGTTGCGGGTCGCGGGAGTCACAGGTCGCGTGTTATACGCACCAACTTCGGCATGTTGTACGGAGAATTCCAACATGGTCCACTGGGAGATATCACTGATAACAATATCGATGGCCAATTCTTCACAGGTGTGAAATATATCACCAGGATTTCGAAAAGTCCCGTCGGTCAATTAATCATTTTGATGGCCACTCGCGTTTTCAAACTCGGTTAGATGAAATGAAACTATGGACAATTTGGATTTCCGATGTTAGTTGCGTATACATATGAATATTTGATTAATTTCGAGGGAAAAAGAAAGGAATGTGTTCGCCTGGAAAATGAAATGACCTTCAAGTTTTAGAAAATTAATGACCAAAAAAGTGACAATTTTACAAGCCTGAGTTTTTGAAAATTTAAGACTCACAAAGATTTCTTTCGAAAACTAGAAGTTTTAATTCAAAAATATTTATACAAAGTTTGACAATTTGTCGAAATCAGTAAGAGGATCATGAAGATTCGAGACTTTTAGAAAAATCTTGATTTCCAACAGAAATTTAAAGATATTTCCGAGTATTAGGAGAGATGTATGGATTCGAGGAATTTGCAATAAAAATTAGGCCCTCGAAGAGGTTAAGTTAAGTTAGGTAGAGAAGAGGTATAATCTAGAGAATTTGAGAATGTATAAGCAACGTAGTTAGAATCAAAGAATTCAAAATGACTCGAAGAAAATCTTTTGTCGCAAAAAGATTTCACTAAACTGTCAATGACAACTCAATCTTTACATTTACCACGTATTGCACTAATTATACGTTTTTCATCAATCGCTGAACCTCCAACGTAAATCACGTGAAATTGCTTTTGATGCGCCCTTCGTCAAGGGCGACACATGAGAAAATCTCAAGGCAACTCCGTCCGTAAGGCTCCAGTCGACGGATTGTTACAGTACAGGTACAATCGCAGTCGCAGGTTCCGAGTTGCGTGATGCGCGAAACGGAAAGATCTGAAGATTGACGTTTATGTTCTTTTCAAAGGTGCAATTCCGCTCGCTCATTCGCGCCCGCGCGCGTTTAGTGCTAAGATGGCGACGGTCGAGTTTCCGTGATACGCGGAAGAGGGACAGTTTCACAGTGTACGGTACGCGGCAGCGGCAGAGAGGACACTCCGGTAGAAAGCGTTCGAAGCGCACTAATGCGTTCCGACGTCCGTGCCAAGCCGAGCCGATCCCACAAGCGAGTCGTCTTCGCGCGATACTTGCCCCGAAGTAACGGAGCGAGCTGATTGACAAAGAGAGCAACGGAGAGAGAGAGAGAGAGAGAAAGAGAGGGAGAGAGAGAGAGAGAGAAGAAGGAAGGAGAAAGGCTAAGTTGCGCGGAGGAGAGGGAGCAGATATACTTTTCACCTTCGACGAGCACGAGTGACTGAGTGGAGCGAAGTAAGAAAAGATCTGCCAGTGGGAAATCTAACGAGAAGTTAATGAGCGTGTTATATGAAGATTGATGTTTTATTGATCAGCGAGACACTGAAAGAAACTGCATATAGCACAGAAGCTGGCAGCAATATTGCTGCAATATTTGTAACTATAATATATCTGAAACGTTGTAGTGTTGCTGCAATATTGCTGGAAATAAACTAGATTGATCTATGCTGTATGGGAAAGTTGATCGAATTAAGAGGATCATAAAGTTGTCTGTTTTATCACAAATCGCTACAAAAATCTTCGAACTGACTTTACGGTAAAATTTTTTTTATTAGATTGAAATACTCACGAAAAACACGCGAAATTCTAGATTTCAGGAGAAAATAAAAAAAGAATTACGAGAATCGTTTGAAAAGTTTTGAGCATATCAAAAAGATGGTATCTTATCATAAAGATGGTATTACTCGTCAAAACCATTCTGATATTACAATCGTACATGCTTTGAAAGATACCTGTGAGAATTGTAACCATTGTAGACGCTCAGTTGTTGTTTGATAGTCGATATTTGTGTCAGTCGATATCAGTGTTTTTGTAAAAATGGAAAAAATCGAATATCACTATAACAAAAATTTACGAATTACGATTCGAATTAATTAACTCTCTACCCACCATATTCACCAGATCTGATCACCAACAACTTTTTCCTGTTTCCTAGGTTCAAAGTTAGGCTCGAAGGACACAAGTTTTCATCAAATAAAAACACTGACCTCGATTGGCACAAATGACTTTCAAACAACTGAGCGTCCAAAATAGCTACAATTTTCACAGATATCTTGCAAAATATGTACGATTATAATACCAGAATGATTTTGACGAGTAATGCCATTTTCATGTTGAGACTCAAAACTTTTCAAAAGACCCACAAAATACGATCATCTTTGACTCGTACAGTTGACGCCTGAATAATATAATAATTTTATAATTTTATATATTGAAAATTAAGCCTGCATCGCACTTTAGATTACTTGAACAAACAATTTATTCTATGGAATTAAGCCAAAAAAAATATTCACTTAAACAGTAAAACATGTATACGTATCCTTAGCGAAGATTTAGAATGATAAACGGAGCGGTAATAGTGTCTATCAATATGTGCTCGATCTTGCAAGAAATGATGCTACAACATGTTAGATAAGAATACAGATATACACGTTTGAGTGAGATAAGGCCGCAGCACACACTTTTACATAATGCATAACATACAGTACATAAACAAATCAATCAATCAGAGTTCTACCTTTTCTCCCATTTCAGGGAAAAGAAGAATTTTAATTGATAGATTCTCTTATGCACTATGTATTATGCGTTATGTAAAAAGTCTGTGCCGCGACCAATAGGACTAGTAAGGGCCATGGCATACAACTTAAGTAGTAAAACGTAAGCAGCAGCCAATCCAACATGTTGATTTCCTTAATGCTTATGTCTTACTGTCTGAAGTTTTTTGTGCGCTATGTCCCTAAAAAACTGAATTAAAGATATCACTATTATTGATACTTTTAGTTTGGAATTAAAGAGTCTGTTTTATTGACATTAATTAAGTTCAGGCCTTGTTTTCTTTAGGATCTTCTTAAAACTGAATTTATTCGCATATGTACGCGACTTCTCCGTTCTAACTGCGATATTTCGGATATTTTGAGCGACAGTGATCATTTACGACGAGAAGCGGAAAATAACAGAACTAGCTGTTAAGCTAGTCTCTCTTGTCGGATCAATTTTCGACTATTTTAAGATCGTATCGGAGGATCCGATAATAATCACTGAGATATTTGCGAAAGCGAAGTAGAGTGAACAAAGTATTTTCGTACGAGAAGAATTTAAAAGATATAGTAAGAAAAAAATGAGTTAAAAATTCCGAAGAGACCTAAGAAAATATACATCTAAAAATTGATCGATCGGGATATGCTGAAGAGGCGCGTGTTTACTAAAATTCTGTATATCTACGTGATTAATATAATCTGCGATAAAAGGTTCGAAAACAACGTCCATCCGTGAAGGACTTCCGATAATTGTTATTTACGTTCTTTTGATAATAATTTTTTTTGTAATCATTGTTTCAATTAATTTTCTGCATTCCTCAATGAATGTCAATTAATAGATTGACACACTAAGGACACTTAAAAATATTCAAAGACATTCCGGATAAAAAACTTTTTTCCAGGCTCTTTCAAGATAATTGGTTATTTCGAAATTTTACGGAAATCTTCCAAACTCTTTTAAGAATTGATTAAAGTTTTTCAAAATATTTACAAATATTTGAGGATTTTAAAAAGCTTCTGAATAATTTTAAAACATTCAAAATTTTTCAATTTTCGAGAAAGTCATAAATTTTTGATCATATCCCGAGAAAAAATATTTTATATATAATTATAAAAAAAATATGAAAATTATAAAAGATAATATATAATTTTATATAATTATATATATAAAACATTTTTTCCCGGGATGTCTAGTTTATATTTATTTTAAAGTTAAAAAATTAAAAAAATTTTAAAGTAAAAACCGAGTAAACAATTCGAAAATTATAAAACTATCAATAGAAATGTTTAAAAAATTGTTTATTAAAAATTAAAAAAATGCGATGAAATTAACAAATATAAGAATAATTATATAAACATTTTTAATGATTTAAAATATATGATATTAAATAATAAACAGATTTTTATCTTGAAATTAAAGCGAATTATAAATTTCTTAAAGTGGACTTTAGAATCTCGACAACGTTTCTGTGGACGTTCGAAAGTATTTGTTAGAATGATCATCAACTTTTCGTTCTTGGAAAAAGTCGGACGATGTCTGGAAATCCCACGACTATAACTTAAGATAATAATCGATAACATTCTACGCGTTATCATTAAAATAATCATACCCCCTGTCCATTGGTATCAATTAATTATTCGACCGGACGCGAAAATTATCGGTGACATATCAGTTCCGTTTGAGCGGCAAGCACGCAACGTTCGTAATCGAAGCGTGATGAATGCTGAACGGAAGCAGGAAGAAAAGTCGATACGCTCGTCAATACAGAATAATAAGCGATTGTTTCCTATCGCGAGAGTCAGTCGATTTCGGATTATGAGGACGTTAAATGAAGGACACTACTTTGTCCAAAGTCGTGCCCTTGTTGCGATCAAATTCTCAATTATATCGCAGTGAGTGATTGTGCAAGTTTCGTTTCCTTTCTCCGTTTTCATCACGTACCTATATAAATTGATGTTTGACACAAAACGATCAGACCTGATGTCTGATACAACATAAGAATATGTCAAGATATTGAATTGTAAATTTATCAAGAAAACTAATTAGAATGGAATAGAAAATAACATTTCTTTGTTCAACATAAAATCATTTTAGAATCATCTCATATACGAATAAAATATATTAATTATTAAAAGTGAAAATAGGACTACTAGGAATCGAGTTATTTGTACACTACAAATTATAATATTTTATTAGGTTAATATTGACATATGGTTGTTTAATAAAAATCACACATAATGTCACATAAAAAAACCATGAAAAATCAATGTCATCGTATATAACAAAACGTTTCGCCTATTTTCTAGCCTTTTACAATATATATGAAAACAATCGTTGTAGACAATTATATAATCCCTCGTAACCAAACTTTAACCTTCTCTTAAACGAGAAGTCTTTATCCATGATCTGTTTGAAAGCTGGATGATGGTTATTCTAAGTTTAGTTTTTTCCTTTAAATAATATTAACCTATTAGATAATAACAAATTACAATGAGATAAATAAAACAGTATGACCAATACCTACGTGCCTGGGGCACGTGGGCGGATATGTACGCAATAAAGATCATAGTAAAATTGATTCTTTAGATTTAACGTAAAGTATCGATTTGATAACTACAAATACCGGGAATTTTGATCTAACGGTTACATGCCAGCAAGTATCAATAAAATAAAGACTGCAGCTTCGGAATGCAATGGAATAACCAAAGTTAAACAAATCTGGCGTAAACAATCATTGACTATCTATAATAGATAACATTGATATGGTTAAGCAATTCTAAGTTTGTATTTAAATGAGTTCCGTTCTTTTGTCGTTTTATATTGCCTAATCATTTCGGAAATTAGTCGTTTTTTTGTAACTTTGCTCAATATCTAAAACTTCAATCTCATCCATTTAAATTCATGTCCATAGCGCAACTTGTGGTTCTGTAATAACAGAATGCGTAGATGTCTTTCTCCTTGTATGATTTTTATGTTCAGAAATACGGGTCATCAACTATCTTCCGGTTTGTTCAATATACGTGGCGTCATGGTGGAAGAAGACATAATGCGCAACGCGCATTATGCTCACTGTTACACCTTGTCTTCTTAATGGTCTTTGTGAGCTTTGGCTAGAAAGCTAGAAAATAGCTGAGACATACGTTTTGTTGTTATATGACAACATCGGTTCTTCATAGTTTTTATTACATGACGTGTTATTATAGATGAAATCTAAATTATCTTTTTATTGTATTAATTACCGTATTATGCTAATCCAAGATGTACTTTCAGCGTTATATGAATATATTGTAAAAGAATGATTGATCACTGTAATATTATTTTGTTCGAATAAATTATCATTAATCGATAATGCCGTTTAATTTTAAAGATTAGAGAACAAAGCTTGATAAATAAATAGATAACACAACTTTGTTTTTCAATCTGCCTTAAGTATTTATCTTCTTGTCGACGGAAGCAAACTCAAATCAGTAAAAAAATCACATCTTTGCTTTTCATACAGTTATAGCTTGATTGTTGAGTGAATATTTCGAATAAATTTGACGCAAAATATTTAAAAAATCATTGAGTTATATACTTCTGTTACTTTATATGATAATTCCATAAAAACTATTTCAAAGTTATAATCGGCTGTTTTTACACAATTTTTAGATTGATCCTAAATTGCAATTCATGATGCGAATTAAATTTGTCGAAATAAAAATCTATCAATACATCTCGTATCTCTCTCGTTTTAACTCGCAGAGCATTATTATCAAAATACTAATTGCAAGTAATCTCCATAT